ATTTATACACCATTGTGAAAAGTAGAGTTCACCATTAAGATATTTGTAATAAAAAATCGTGACAGTCTATAACATAATTTCAACTATCTTTATCTACCTTTATCGTTCAAATGTATAATCCTGCAATATATAATTTCATAATAACAACATCGTATTTATAGACATAAATACTGTAGATTCTATTACAGGTTATTGTCGAAAATTCCATGATTCATAATTTCTTATACTAATGAAAGCTGAATCAATTTTATTTTAATTTATTATTTATTTTTAATTCATTATTGATTTTAATGGGAAGGTGATTTAATACTATAACACATCACTTTAAAAGTATGCTGGACACAACTACCCTTTTTTGGGGACCCAACTTACCCTGAACGCAAATTACCCACAAAAAGGTGTAGGTACGTCAGTGTATTCTCCTGATATTGTAAACCATCAATATAATAAATAATGGGGTTTGTGCCTGTGCATTTTTTTTTTGTAGAGGACGAGCGATAAAATGTGTCGGTTATTAAAATAATGTCACGCAAATCGTATATAGTAGACGATATATTATAGTATAATGTTTTGTATTCGTTTAACCATGCACAAGTCGGGTGGCATACACTTTATGAAAGTACATCCTTCGGTAAGTCGTTGAATTTACGAGTATTGAGGGTGTATTTCTACCTATACTGAGTTTTACAGTAACGCGCTCGCATATTATTACCTACGTAATAATACAATTTAGTTCAAAAGAAAATTTATTTTATTGGAAACCGCTTTGATTTTCAAAGAAACGTCGAAAAGTGTTTAGACATTACTTGAAATAGTGTATGTATATAATATTATATCCCCGGGGTTGTATGAATAATTTATTTCCGTTTTTCTCCCCTTTTGCTGCAAATCACCATAACGCCAAAAGAGATAATATTATAATGATTTTTTTTTATTATTATTCAAACATTTCAATGTAAGATAATATAATTACATTCGTGTTTGGCTTAAGAATATTTCATCAATCTACGTCGGTGAATGCGTTTCAAGTAAAAAGTGATTTGTTAATTCTGATTTAATACGCTATTGTAAAAATGTTTTTGGTTGTATTCAGTACAGATTTCAAATTCTGATTTTTTTTGGTAACGATTACATTATTATGTTTTCAATGTTAGGTATTGATTTATGATTTCATCACAACGGTGGCCGTGGTTTTACATAAATGTGTATATTTATTGTTTTTCTTATATTATATTGTATTGTATTTTATTATTTATTATGATGCTAGGTAAGCGCAATAACAGTTAAACTCCATTAATGATTATCCAAGAGCAAATGACCTTCAAAAATACACGTTTTTATATATTCAGTTTGTACAAAATTATTTTTGTTTTCTTTCATCATTGACATTCCATGTAACTACACCTTGTATGTGCCTTACAGTAGTCAGCAACCATAACCTATTATTAGTTTTGCGTTCACATTATATTCAGCTGCTAGCCAACAGTAGTTTTAGGCACTAAATCCACATGGATACAACATACAAATTACAAATGTATTAAGTGGTACACCCAGATCATGACCGTACCGAAAAAGTATGATTGTACCATAGTCTTTAATACAGTGTTTTTTTAATGATGGGTACAACTCTTCGTCTTTATTTAGAATTGACAATATTGATAGATATATTACAAAATAGTAAATAATAAATATACAGTATTCTATCAGTACGTTTTTGCTTTACCACAAAGGTTTATAGAAATAGTATCAGCTTTATTTAAAATGCGACATACTCGTGAGTTATTCTCGGTAATTTAATTCTTAAATTCTTAATATATTCCTAGTTACATTCTTACTATCATATTAACGGAAATGCTTATCATTAGTAAATCAGCTATACGTATATTAGTACCTATAGTATAAATAATATTTTGACGCGTGGTATCGTCAATTATACTAATAAATATTTTTCTCATAAAATAAAACCACTAAGAAGGAATCTCTTTAAAAATGTATAAACATTTTTTTTTGGTTTTACTAGTATAATATAATATTTTGTTTTCTTAATTAGGATCTGTCTAGTTTTATTTTTTAAAATTAAATCCGTACATTTGTAATAATAAACGCTGACATGCCATTTCGTTTCTTTAAATTCGACATTCGTGTATATATATATATATAATCCGATAAATATAACGAGTAAGCATAGTGATCAACTGCTGCTACCTATTAAATATCATCGTTGTAAGATGTTTCTATTGGCAGGAAAAATATTTTAAATTATCAAACACCGGTGTGAAGTGAATTAAAAATATTATACAGTTTACTAACCATTATTATTTGTAAATTGTATTATTATTATTACCCGGGTATAGTTGGATTATAAATATCGAATAATTAATAAAAACATGTGTTTAATTAATTAAATGTAACGTACTCTCCTAATTGTTCACCATATGTGAGCTCCATTCCTTTAAAGTGGCATGATCATATTTAATAAACAACTGTGTAAGTGTATTATAATGTTTTTATTCAGCTCACAGTATTAATTAAATCTGACAGTTCATTATTAATTTTATATTTTGTAATTATTACACTCTTGGTTATTCATTAAGTATGTCCAATCCAAATGTGAAATGTATAATAATATAAACGGTATTACTAAAAAACAAAATGTTGTACGCACTGAAATTAATATTTTATGAGTCCTAAATACAATAGGCACATAATATTGTGTATCGCGTAAGTACATATAATATTGAAATCTTTATACATACATCATTTTATATATCATGTATACCTACATAGTGTACAGCTAAAAATACATTTTTGAACACTTGCATTGTCTATACAATTATACAAAATCAGTTAAATATATAATTATAAATTAAGAAATAACACATATCAATTAATAGTTTACATATAATACTTGCCGATTCATTCAGTAGCCTCACAAAAAATCCGATCAATATGATATCAAATCTAATAAAAAAAAAAAAACATGCACTCTTCGCGATGAGTATACTCATTTTCTATATAATACAGGTATCTGGGCACAGTGGAATAAATCAATACGAAAAAGCCAATTAAGAACCGTCCAAAGCGGTCACATTTACGGAAATTTCAATCCTAAACATTAACATATATAATGCAGACAAAATAAACATAATATACAACTGCAAGTTCTAAATCTCAAATGACAAAGACATTGGATAAACCAAAGCAAACTATTAAATGCAATAAGAAAACATTCAAATATTGTCAAGCTCAGATTAAAGAGAAAAAATGATACTATTGTAAATCACTTACACTCTTGACTATCATTCTCGATTCACAATCATCTCATGGCCAAAAACCATCATCCCATATGTAAATCATGCATGCGAAGTGGATTACACATGGTTAAGCATATCATAATAGAATTCCAAAAATATAAGGATATGAGAATCAAACATCACTTACCACAACAGGTGGAAGAAGCAATCAATCTACTTTCATACATGACCATCAACAACTTCTTAAAATAAATAAAATTATACAACATACTTAAGTTGAGTATTATATTGTACATAATGCAATAAAACTGTGTAAATAAGACTTCGTAGCTAATAGATATAAATTCCAATGTTATTTGGATCAATAATAAAAAAAACAAATGAATATCTATAAATGTCAATAGTTCTTCCACACGTAATCACCAATAACCATTATTATGACCATACCAATATGTACCAATCTCGTAATTTAAATACATCTTTAAAACCACTGTTTAAACTGACATCAAATACATTGACTGAAACAAAATTAATCATGACATTTGTTATAATAATAATTATTAGAATAATAGATATAATATTTTTATAATTTATAACCATCTGAATTCTTTGTTAGGTTAGGTTAGGTATTTTACAATTATCAACGTCGTTGAGTTATATTGTTTTTTAAAAAACAATTACTATCAAATTTAAATTATCCCTCACAAATTATGATTTTGTTATACCAATTATTATTTTTATGATTTAGTAGTTTTCATAATTTCAAAGATATTTTCTTTTTGTTCTAAATCTCAATAGAAAATTCTAATTTTCTTGAAAAAAAAATGTTATTAATTCATATCCTGACAAGTTGGTAATTATGGGTACAGGAGTGACACGCATTTAAATTATGTAAAAAAAGGGAGGGAGGGAAGATGTACACATTACTTAAACACATTATTTAATGGAAAGGGTGATTAAGTCGGTACCTATATAAATATACGGTTATGCTCTGTTAGGGTTTCCTTTTACTAGAAGTTTATGTTTTTAGGGTTGATATAAAATAATTATCATTTTAAAAGTTTACACACGTATACTATGGTTAGATTTAGGTAAATGTAATCGGATTTTTAATAATACACTCTAAAATTGATTAAAGTTGATCAATTAACAAATTAAAACTAAGTTTTCGCTGATTTTTTTTTTTTAAATACCAACGAAATAATTTATTTATACATGATGAACGATATACTTTCTATGCAAAATTGCATATCGTTTATTTTATTCTACATTATGAGATTATATTTGCCTTATCAAAGTATTTTTCTGATTTTATTGCACTAACTGCATTTCAAAGTAATAAAATTATTATTTTTTTACATTAATTGAATTAAAGTACCCGTATACTTATACAGTTATACGTAGTATACCTACTGCATACCAATAATAAATAATAATAACCATCATAATGAGCCGATCGTTGTTATGAACTTTTGAGAACATCTATCTCTTTATCAGTATATCATATTATAATAAAGTTAGGTACTCGTAAGTAATACTAGACTATATAAAGCACATATTAAAACACATCGATTGTTGATTGAACGCTTTTGAGTCATCGTATGTTAATCAAGTTTTTTTTTTTTGTTTTTGAAAATATGAACCAGCAATAATACGAGCTTAATAATACTTGTAATATCCATACGTATAGATTATAATAATATTATATTTTATAATTTATTGATGTTTGTATGTTTAACGTTTCAGATCCAAACCAGAAATGGCCAAACAACCAGCATGCCGGTCTGGTGGCTGCCGAGTTTGTTTAAAAAGCTTTAAAGAAGGTGACTACTCACGCGTATGCTCCGGGTGCAAGTTCAAGGTGTGCGAGGACTGCGCAACCTCGTATACGAAGATCGGCGAAGACGAGGTAAACGCGAGCTAGCTGTATTTATAACTGTGTACATAATCGCGTATACTTACGCGATTGTGCGTACGGGTAGGGGAGAAAAAATGGTCGTAGATTTTTATCCCGAAAACCTCGGGTGGGCAGGGGACATTGGTCAGAGGGAACCCATCAATTGCAAAACAGTCGGTTCCCATCCATTACGCGGTCAATCTAGAACCACCGACACCGCTGTCCGATTGCTTCCCTGCCTGCACGCTGTTTTTCTTCCAGACCTACAACAACAAATCCGTCAAGATTCCAGTGACCTCAAGGGTGTGGATAGGGGAAAATAGGAATGCGAGGTGTATAAATGGGTGAGAGAGAAAAAAAGGAAGGAATGGGAAAGTAAAGGACGTATATAAAGGCCATTTCGTTTATCTCCGATCCATTTCGGTGGTGTCAAAAAAACTCCTTTCTCCTGTTTATAAATGAACTGATTTCCCGAACATATCCTTTCCACTTCCATTTAGGAGTCCAAGAGAGTTAAAATTGGTGTTCTAACCCTTGTTATCCGCCTTTGATTCAGATATTTTAATTACAAATTAATGTAATAGAATTCTTTATTAGGTATGCGTTTTATATGTTAGTTGCATATAATTTAGTTCTGTGTGGCTTAAAATCATTTTAAATAATCCATTTTATATCAAAGATGCAAGTTGTTTGTCGAGGCAAATATTATATTAATATCAATAATAGATAATATTATAATATAATCCAAAGCATAAGGAAAAAAATGGAATTTTATAAGTAGATACCAAATACGCATAATATAATATGTGGTTGATATGCCACATTCATTTTGCACTCCGTCATCATTCTTATGCTTATGTTTTCGAAGGCTTGGGACAAAAAATATATATTATATTTTACATTCAACTGCTTGGAAAGAGTATTGATTATTTTAAATTTTACTCTTACTACGCTTAACCTCTCTGCTATTTTAAAAACTTTTTTTCTCATATTTAAAAAAAATAAATATCCATCGGACCAATTCTTAATATCTAATAGTTTACCTACCTATAATGCTAGAGTCAAAATAATCCATTGCGTCTTATATTTCAATGTATATTTTTTTCAGATACATTTACCTAGTAATTTTATAAAAAAAACAATTCATTTATCTGTTATGTAATAATTATCTTCTTATGTTACATCGCATTTAAACAGTGATTACTTAACTAGGTAGCACTAATTTTTGCAAATATATTATTCTTCGTTATAAGGCTATCAGTTTTAATAATTTGCTGATTTTTTTTTCATCTCATTGACCTGTACGTCATATATTTTATTAACAGTTACAAAATTATAGATATACCTACTCCAGCATTATAGATTAAAATATGTACAATATATTTTCGTTATCATTTGTCTTTCAGTATTAGGTACTAAAAATAAAAATTTCATAAAATGATTATCATACACGTTTTATTTGTATAATATATGAACATGACTTAAAGAGTAATGCGTTTCAGTTTAATATTGATTAATTTATTTTATTAATGCTCAATAGTAAAAAAAAAAAAAAAAAATAGTGTAAACCGTTTTGAAACACTTAATAAATAAGACACGGTGGTAATAAATCATGGATATCGATAAAATAATAAATGGCCTAAACATATACAGCTATAATATGTACCTATATATAACGGAGCAAGAGCCAATAAACAATGTCGTGTTTGATTATTTAAGTAGTAGTTCACAAATAATACATTTATTTGATGATTTAATAATATTTTCTCTAAAACTTACATTGAACATTAATTTATGTTAAGTAAAACTAAACAGCTGATGTCGTTTATTATTTCTAAGTACACTCTGGATAATAGATTATCCAACATTGTGTAAAGTGTGGTTCGTATTGCTAAAAACTTTTATATTATTCAGTTCTCTATAACAATAGTTTAGTACTTATAAAGAAATAAAATATAAGCATAAATTCTATTTTAGAACAAAATAATTCAAATATCCTTTACAATCATGTTTTAGCGAACAATTTATAAACATATTTTTTTATTGATCAAATACTACTTTGGCAGCTCAGGCCATTTATTTTATTATATTTTTATGAACATATTTTAAACTATATATTATAGGTTGTATATATTTATAATACACATTAAACTCACTAGAACTTGATATAATCGGATTGTTTAATATTTTGTATAAATGAATATTATGATTATCTAATTTAAAAAAATATAATTTTGTTTGTATAAAATAATAATACATTATATAATATTGACATATTGTTTAATATTTCTCTATTTTATACATCATCATTTGATTGGCGATGATTTTTTCCGATTATTTAGATTGATAAATTATTATAGTATAGTAAAATGTATTTTATTAATTTTTTATGCTAGTATATTATACACATGAAAAATAAAAATAGCTAGCTGAATTTATTTCATATCAATCAGTATTTTTCTCCCTGTATTATAGTCTCAGTCAATTTTTATATTATATATGATATTATTATAGAACTCCATAAAACGTGCCCTTACGTGCAGAAAAATACTATTTACGATCACCATTTTCTATAGTACCTACCTTAGACCCTAATATAATATATAATATGGCTGTTTCCAAGAATATGGACCCTAACTGTCATTACATCACAACAAGGACTTTCTTTCACATATTCTATATTAAACACGATATTGCTAGATTTCGCTTGTACACTCCAGTTCTGTTGTCCACATGAATTTTTATATGTTTGCTATATTTTTTCATGTTTGATTTTCAAAACAAAATAATATATAAATGGGCCTGTTACTTTATATTTTAAATTATATAAATTAGATTTTTGCTCTGTTGTACCTTATAATATTCTGATCACATGACATAATATTTTGTGTGTCACATAGACATATATTCAATACCTCTCCAAATCCAAAGTTTATATTAATTAAGCGAGGTTTCAGGAGAGTGTACATTTAAAGCCATATAACATTATAACTTGATCGTGAACGAGAACAAACCTTTGTTGCATTTAGCAGCTTTAATTAGGTAAATGTATCTTCAAATGAGTCGTATAGAACTAAAATAATTGTTTGTCCTTTGTCTCTAGTCTTCAATACATTTGAAATTGTAATATTTAAAATTATTTTCTAAAAAAAACTCATGCGCTCTTAATTATTGAAAAATTCTTTAAAACTTGTTTACATTATAATATATTACACAAGGAGGTGATTCACCGAGCATGCTCTTACCATTTTTATTATTCTTCTATAACGCAGTTATTCAAAATCAGAATTTTTAAATTTTTAAATATACTTATTAGTCATATTTTCAAATTCTTGAGATTTGTTTGTACTGCTTAAGAAGTGCCCTGCGGAGATACAAACTACTGTGTCTCAAAATAATGAGAACTTCTTCCTTTTTTTCTATTGTATTTAGTGGATAATTTTTCTGTAATCATTGAAAAATCAAAAACCAGTTTTTGAGTAATTTAACATTGTGTTCTAAGAATGATAAGTCCATGATAATGAGTATGTGAAATATGTAGGTTATGATGGCGATTTGATTAATGGAATGTTGGTGATTAATATTAATCTAATAATAACTTAGACAAATAGTCCAAGTATAATTAAACCTAGATCCATTATTGCATCTATTTTATATTTTTGTAAAACCATTTTTAAGGACTATTATTTTAGTACAAATGTTGATGGTTGAAGATCATAAGCAAAATGTAATCAAATCGTATATTAATACAATTAAATTATATTTTTTAATATGTTAAGCTAATAGTAATAGATTTTTAAAATAAATGTATCATTTTTAAGATATTTATTCTTTTATAAATGTATAAAAATTAAATGTTTTTAATATCTAATTTTTTTGCAAAAAATAATATTTATTGTTTGTTTGGTCCAAAACAACTATAATTTTGAAACAGTTAAAATTACTTTAAAAAAATATTAATAATATTATTATATCATTGAGTAAAAATGTGAAATATTGTGATTTTAAATAATTTAGTGTTAAAATTTTACTTTTCCCACGTATCCATTATTTAAAAAACACTAAGTTATAAAAAGGAATTTAAAGTGTAATTGAATATTTACAAAATTCGAATTTTTAAGGTTTCTGCGTCACTAAACACAATGGTCGAATAACAGTAATTATTATGCGTTTAACATTTTCCATTAACTATTATTTCGTTCGTTTCATAACATTATATTATTATAATGATTATGTCCTCGTGCCATAATATAATACCCGAGTATGGATGTATCCACGTTTCATAGAGTGGCGAATAAATATTTTGACGGCCTGTTGAAGAACAAATCGATAGTTTCCGGAAATGTGTTTTCATTAACCAAATGGGGGTCAGGTGGCATATTATTTCTAGCGGGTGTGTCATGTCGTGCGTAGAATACGTATATCTATACTAGATAATACATATAAATATACATTTACTGGTAAACGTGCTCGTCTAACAACCAGGCTTTTCTACATAAGAAAATCGTATATAAGTATGTTATATATATTTATAGCCCTTTTCAATGGTGACAAGCCATCTCAGGTGGAAGCACGGATATTTTAGAAACACTTCAGATACAAAATTATAATATATGAGCTGTGAGTAATAGACTTAACGGGGATATAGTTTTTCAAATTTCAAAATTACACATTATCATAATAATTGCACTAATATATAAGTATTATGTGGGTTTTTTTATGGCCGATTTCAACCTTTCTTTTTACTATAATATCCTAAAATCAATAAAAAATAGTTATTGAGTTAAAATAATTGTTTTTGGGCTAACTGTAAAAAATGGGTTTTTGTACTCGCGCAACAAAAAAAAAAAATCATGAAAACAATTAATTAAAATAATTTAATCCTAGCTATTATGTCATAATGTGTTCCAAACTTCCAAACAACATGAACAATTTGCGTTTTATTGGTAAGCTATACTTAAACATATTTAATCGTGCATTAATTATAAATATATATTCAATATAAAATAAAT